TTCTTTCTCACTCCCTTGCTCGAAAGCTCAACTGCCTACGGTGGCTTCCCGCTCTCTTTTTCTTGATCACTTCCATTCTCATGCCATTTCTGTGTACACAGATGGCTCTAAGTCTTCAGACGGCGTCAGATTCGCAGCAGTGTTTCCGGACAGCGTCGTGCGGGGGCATTTACTATCTTCGGCTAGCATTTTTACTGCTGAATTGTATGCCATTCTTGCAGCACTTATTCGTATCGCATCTATGCCTGTGTCATCATTCGTGGTAGTCTCAGACTCCCTTAGTGCTCTACAGGCTATACGAAAATTTGATACATCTCACCCCCTAGTTCTCCGTATCCAACTTTGGCTTACGCCGTATCTCACCAAACATAAAAAATATTTTTTTTTGTTGGGTCCGGTCATTCGCGTACAGGGCAATACCCGGCAGCACTGCTGCGCGGTCGCAGTACAAGACCTACCAATTCCTATGAGGGTCCCTTTCCTGGACCTATTTTTGCTGCAATTTTTCTACCACCTTCATACTGTTGGCAACAACGTTGGTCAACCTGCTCGGTTTAAAAACTTTTATTTATTAAACGAGCATTGGTTACTGGCCCATCTTTTGTCAATCAGTGCCGAGGGTTGGGAGACCACTCTCTCCCGCCTTCGCATTGGCCACACTCGTCTTACCCATGGGTTTTCATGGAGGCAACCCTGTTCCTCTCTGTGACAGTGTCAAGTTCCCGTATCGAAATTAGCCACATTCTGTTAGAATGCCCTCTCTATCACGAGGCACGCAGAAAATTTACCTCCGTCATCGTCTCCACTCTACTACTCTCTCTTTACCTTCCCTTCTTGCTGATGGACCTCCTTTAATCCTGACTCTCTCATTGACTTCTTGACAATGACTGATTTACTCCACAAACTCTGATGATGATACCTTTCACACTCCCCCCAGCCCTTTCTAGCTCAGTCTCTTGCTGCCCTTTACCCTTTCACCATCCACTGCCCCACTGTTCTCTGTAACCTATTACTCATCCATCTCCCTTTTACCACCTGATACCCTCGCTTCCTTCCTGCCCTGCAGCACTGTATAGCCCTTGTGGCTTAGCGCTTCTTTTTGATTATAATAATAATAGTTTCACAAGTGTGCTGATATTATTTATACCATTTCTACACTTATGCAGTAGTCTGCATAACAGTAAATGTTCTATTTTTTGTGAGAATAAAAATTCAGAGTGGAAAGCAAAAGAAATATAACAGAGGCCTGGGGATATGACTAATGAACAGAGGAAATGTTATTTTAGTGCCAGGAATGTCTCTTGTTTATTCTGGACCCTAATTGGAAATTGGCATCTTTTGAAATTTGTGTGAAATTGGCAAAATTGCCAAATTCTGACCACTTTATTGGATAGTTGAAATTGGTAAATGGGTAGTTTCTTGTACTCGTTCGATAGAAAAAATGGAGTTCTAGCAAAATGGGTATGATTTTTATTGATTGGTACATCGCAATTGGCCGAAACTAGGGCTCAAAGTGGGCGAAATCGCCGATGCGTAAACATCGTCGAGACCGCTAACTTTGCGAGAGCATAATTCCGTAAGTTTTCCATCAAATTTCATACTTTTGGTGTCATTATGATCGGGAAAATATTGTCTATCATTTCATAAGATAATTTTTTTTTTCTTCAGAAAATTTCCGACCCTGAGAACAAATTTAGGAGAGGGCCTGCCAACCCTGAAAGGGTTAACCATGGCACAATAAATAATTGCTAGTAATGCTGGAGGTGCTAGAAAGAGGAATAAACATGAAAGTTTGTATTTTTAAAAGAAAAATTAAAAAACTATGGTGAAATTATGATAGTCCCTGCCCAATTTCTATGGAAGAAATCCACAGTGTCTGCATTATACACAAACTTCCTTTAAGCCTTACTTAAGACTATTTAATAATTAAGCTTTATATTTAGGTTTTGGGTACATATGCAATTTTTGTTTACAGTGGCCTTGGTGGCATATGTTATGGGCATATAAAAAGTACATAGTGTAAATTTAACATTGGATAACCCAAGTATAGTCAAACATTGTGCATACGTTTGAGTGTCCAAACCTTGCTATGTCCACATGGGCCTAGTAAGGCAACATGAGCACTCTTCACATATTTTAAGATAAAAAAAAAATCTAGAATGTAAATTGGCAAAAGCTTTATCAGTGTTGACAAAATTAAGAATTAAAAACCCTGTTTAGGGTTTTTGAAATGTCATGGACAATAACCTCATTTGTTTCATAATCTGAACACTCCATCCATTGTGTTTTCATATTTAGCTATGTTTTTCTGCAATGTAACCCTTGTGAAACCTTTACCTTGGATTTCCATGTCTTTCTATTCCCAGATCTAGGCCATGGGCCTAGATATGGTTTAAGTAAATTTGAAAATGTGAATACAATGGAACCTCTACTTACGAGTGCATCCACGTGCGAGTTTTTCCAGATACAAGCAGTCGCTCAGTTGATTTTTTGCTTCCAGACGTGAGCGAAATTTCCAGATGCGAGCGGGTCTCGAGGGAGGTTCCTTGCTCTTGATCTAGGGAATTGGATCTGTTGTTTGTTGGACTATCTTATTGAAACTTGGGCAATGTATAATGGAAAGATGCTTCTTAATGTACACCAAAAATGAAAGAAATCAGACCATAAATAACGAAGTTCACTTCTCAGCCATTAGCCTCCCCTTAGTGGTATATTTTCATATGGTTTTTATGGTTGTATTCTCGGTTTTTGGTCTCATTTGATAGAATGGAAGATATACTACAGAAATATATATGATTTTGATTGGTTTCATGGCAAAAAGTACCTTGAAATTGAGCTCATAATAGCAGAAATGTTCGAATCTTTGGTGAGGTTCAAGAGTAAACAAATGTCACCATCCAATACCTGTCCAATTAGCACTGCCCCTCAACCTTCACAAATTGGAAAGCTCTTCAACATGTTAGCAAAAGTGGGAGCAGACATCATGAGGTAGCAGTGGCAGACAACATGCAGCAGCAGTGACAAACATGAAACAGCAGTGGCAGACCTTGTACCTTGAAAACAACCTTGTTGTACCCTGTACTATAAGTGAGTTTCTGAACGCCACCATGAGATGGCAGTATGTATCAAAACAATGCTCAGTCCACTCTACTCGTGGTGGAGGTAATTCTCATGTTTTCCTGAAGTTTTGTGCAGATATTTCTCGTTTCTAACCATGGGGCCTAAGAAAACAAGTGCAAAGGACAGTGCTGAGAAGAAAAAGAGGACGATTTCCATGGAATTAAAGCAGGAAATCCAAGATAAACAAACTAGGTGGAGGATTAAGGATTTGGACAGGCAGTACCAACGTACCACTTTGATATGTACAATACTAAAGCAGGAGGAGTCAGTGACAGTGTAGCAGTAAGAGTAGCAATTATAAGTCACTCTGACTTTTTTGGGTTATCCTAAGTTCTCTACACATGTAGTCAGGATCAGGAATGGCTGCTGTGGTGGCCCTACAAACCCCAACAATAATAATGTCAGCTGTCACCACCACTAGCCACATACGTAATGACATATATTTTATTCATTCTAGTGTATATATCATGTTTCTATGTTACTAATACCCCTCAAGGGAGGTTCCTTGATGCTGGTGAAGGGCTCTTGATCTAGGGAATTGGATCTGTACTCCAGTTCCCTGCATTGAGCCTGAATGCCTTCCATCCCATCCCCCCACAGGCGCTGTATGATCCTACGGGTTTAGCACTCCCCCATGATTATAATAATAATATGTTGTTAATATTGTTTATTATGTCATATTAGATGAATTGTGATAAATAAGCCATAGAGTTGATATTAGGGAAATATTGCAGTATTTTTTCGTGCCTGGAATTCCACTGGAACGCATTAACTATTTCAATTACAGTAATTTAAATCAGGAAAATTGACCCTGCAAATGAGCAAATCCAGATGCAAGCAAGGTCATGGAATGGATTAAACTCATAAGTAGAAGTTCCATTGTACTGTACTATTATGTACTTGTAAGCCAGTGTTGCCAATGAGTGATCATTTTATGCTGTTTTCAAAAAGTTTTATTTTTTCTATTTCCATGCTAAGTGTATCAAAAAATTGATTTTTTTTTTTTTTTATACAGTTCAAGAGTATTTTTCTACATAGAATTTAAAAAATCTGATGATAATTTAAGATTTTATGGTGTGTTGAAGTTGCTAAAAATAAAAACTTGTCAGCAACTGCAGCATAAATATTTTTGCAGTTTATTGAAAGCAAACTTAAGATTTTTTATTTTTTTCAGTGCCACTGCACTATGTACACTAGTATTTTTTGTGATACTAGATGTTTTAGTGCTAGCAACATAGGGAGATGAATTGCTCATCATAGCTTCACTTAGAATATACAGTGTAAGTTACTAGATTTTTTTTTTTTTTTGACTTGGTCTTCTAACTCTGTGTACAAGGGAATCTTATGATGTTACAATTGTTTCAAGGTGTAATATAATTCGAAACATGGAAATAAGTCACATTGACTTTCTTGGGTTATCCTGCATGACTTCTCATTGTATGCTATTTGGCTGAATAACACTGTTAAAAATCATGAAATTGTAATAAATTGGGCATCTTCCTACCAGTTCTGCACTATGTGCTGGAAGTGGCAAAACAGGTCCTGGTTGTATTATTTACATGTGCTTCTGTGGTCTAGATTTGTTCTCATGTATGAGGTGGTAGTTGACCCAAATATTTGCTGATCTTTAAAATGGCAGTGCACAGCCAGTTTAAAGTTAAAGCCTAAAAAAAATTATACACACTTGTACGTCGAACAAATACCGGTCCTGGCATACTAGTATGTCATGTACAGTTTAAGGGTTAGGGGATAACTCAAGGAATTGGTGCCATGCTAATCGTGGATCAAACTAGATTACTTCCTCTTCCCCAGGCTCTATATAATGCTTATCATTTTAGTGGTTCCCATGACTGCAATAATAATTAAATATTTTTTACCAGCATGCAAATAGCGTTGATGATGATGCAGAATGGGAAAGGTTCCAGAAGGGTTTGACCAAGAGGGAAAAGGCACTTGAAGGCAAATCTAGGATGTCGCACACGGTTCACTGTCCGTACTTCCCAGACGATAAGCAAGAGTACTGGTGGACGTATGTTTGTGACCGCAAGAAGCACATGCTCATCACTGCCCCTTATCAGGTGAGAACTGGAAAATAAGTATGTAGTCCTAATACTGAGATAGGTTGCAGTTTTCAAACTGTAGTATCGGCACACCTCTGGCAAGACAGTGATGGAGTGAGTGATGATGCAAGTGTTTCCTCATTTTTTGGGTCACCTACTTTGGTGGGAGATAGCTGATGGGTTAAAGAAAAAAAAAATCTGATTAACATTTATTTTTTCTCCTGCCATTTCCATTCAAGTATGATGACTCAAAGACGGAAATGCATTCACCATCACTCATTCAGTAGGTGTTGCCAAAAGCATGCAGACATTACAATTTAAATGACCCTCTGAACCTCTGAACTGTAGTCTTTTAGGCTATTATGTGTGTGTTACAAACGTTTCATTCTTCTGTTGGTCACTAGTGTATATTCCTCTAGTAGCCCTGAGGTCATTTGTTTTAGTATGTGGGTAAATCTTCCCTTGAACTCATTGGTGGATAGAAAAATAGTGAACCGAAGGTAATTAATATTATTGTATGCATATTAATTGTAATTCTTCCATTCCATCTTCAACTTTGCATGAATGATTCATGAAACACCCTTGTGATACTCTATCCCAATCCTCTTGATCTACAAGCAAGACAATCTCTATGTTAAATGCCATGCCAGATACGTCTTGACCACCACCTAATTATAATCATGGGAAGCCTCCACAGTGAGTTACATTACCCCTACATGAGGTATATGGCCCACAGATCCTGACAAAAATTTTTGCTTTAGACGACAAGAGCTTCAAACAAGCTAGACGAATACTGTGTGTGCTAAAAAATCCTGAGAGCAGCAGGCCCAGAGGTCATTTTTCATACTCTGCATGATGAAGTACATATAATGCAGGTTAATAATGCTACCCAAATGGATACTCGGACAAAACTACAAACTGCATAACACCTGTAACTACTTAAATGCACCCACCTTAATATATGCTGTGGAATGGTCATCCTTCTTCAAGCAGTAGTACATCAATGAGCATTTGCTGAAAGTATAGACAGTTTCTTCCAAGAACTCTAACTGCATCATCTACCAATATTCAAAGTTGGTACTTTTATCTATTAGAGCAAGAAGACAGATGTACCCAGTGTTACCAAGTTAACACTTGAGAGCTGTGAGCTCTTCACTACTGTGCATTTAGCAGGTACAGAACTCTTAAATGGTGCAAGAGCTCTTACCTACCCCCCCCTTCCCCCCAACAATGCTGTAATGCATGCAGATGAACCCTGGAAATTAGCTACTTGTTTGACTTGCTGGAGCTCATCCTTCCTATTCCCACTCCTCAAGGATAATAAATTCTGCCTCCTGAAGGAGAAAGAATGCATATCTTACAGCCAGGTCATAGAACATCATCTTAGAAGTGGTCTTCTACCTAGGATATTGTATGTTCACATGGCTTCCAGACTTCCATCTGATATAGGCACTTTTCCATCACTTCTTGTATGTGATAAATTTGAAAATGTTTTCTTTGGAATTCCTACTTTGGCTTCAGATTCCACACGGTCTACACAATCCATTCTCTCTCTTCTTAGGTGACAGAAGAAGAGACTCATTCAGGGCTATCCATTTCTGTTCCTGAACCACCTCCAGTACTCCAAGATTCCACTAGTTTACTCTCTTCCATCTCTCAGTTCATGTATTTTGTACACTTCTACCTTTCCAGGAGTTTCTTCAGTCCCTTCTTCCTTTCTTCCTAATGAATGTTCAGGGTCCTCTACAGACCTCTGTGATCAGTGTGTTGAAGATGAAGGTTCCTTAGTCTTCTATTACAACCAATAATAGCTGACTGTTCTACTCTAAGAGTACCATCTTTTACACCTACTACATTGCTGTTTCCTTTCCCTTCAGATGAGGAAACAATTTAAGCCATTTATGTACCCATTGCTTTGTAAATTCTTATTCCTCCACAGAATGATCATTGCTCTTGTAATCTTAAACATGGTGAACTGCCATCTGTCATACTCTCGCATGCTCAGGCTCCAAACACTCAAATTATCAGTCACATCCTCCCCAGGGATGACCCCAACCCATTCTTCCATCCTCTTCCTCAGATATATACAATCTCTTGAGCCTATCTTGCTTCATCCTTTCTTCTTTCTAAACAGTTAGCTTATCTCACCAAGAAACTTGGACAATGAATGGGGCATACCTCTATCATTGGATACAGCATACACCCTTTGTCACATTACCTCAAGAATTAAACATACTGTATTTACACATCATTGATCTGATGTTGCAAGTTTTTTTTTCATAATGGCTTTTTCTAAATGTCCCTTAAACTGAAAAAGGTTCTGTATTTACTTAATGTTCTTGTTCTTTACAGATAACAAATCTTGTGGATCATGAAGAAGTTCAGCTCAAGTTCACTGCACCCCAAAAGCCTGGTATTTATACATACCAGGTTTGCCTGCGATCAGATTCATATTTAGGGTTGGATCAGAGTCAAGACATCAAACTTGATGTGAAAGAGGCCAGAGAGATCCCCACAGAGCACCCACAGTGGCAAGAATGTTCCAGTGATGAGGAAGATGATGATGAGAATGATGTGGGTAAAGATGACGGGGAGGACTCTGAATATACAACTGATGAAGAAGTTACTGATGACAGTGACGAAGAATGATGTGTGAACTAGGTGTATAGATCTGTTCTCTGTTGGAAGCTCAAGGCCAAGTAATTTAATATCATTTTTCTTTATTTCATTCTTAGTCGTTATAGATCATGTTAGTGTTTTGTGTTTGCTAAACTACTGCAATAGCCTCAACCTGTGAAACTGAAATATGGAGAGTATTGAAAAATGTGTGTTCAGGTTTACTCAGTACACCAATAATGTAATATATTGTGGTTGAGAATGAGTCAAAGGAATTAATATTCGAGAATTCCTGTGAGAGCTTTCAGAATGGCTTATCTTCTCATAGAAGATTGAAAGCCAATGCTTATATCACTAGTTCTATTTTTGAACAGTTCTTGGTATATTACGTAGAAAGATGCAGCATTTTCACATAGTTCAAGTTTTGACTAGATACGTGTGGAACAAAGACTTTTTTTTTTTTTTTGTAGTGCGAGTGAAAAATATTGCCGAGGTCTGCCTCCACAACAGTGCATCTACTTTCAATGATGGTGGGTTTATTGGTCCATTACTTGTAGTTCAGAGGTAGAATTTTCATTGATATTATTTCTTATAATAAGATGATTCATCGTAATACTGGATCTAGGATAGATATGAACTTAAATTTGTGATATATTTGTAAAATGTTTAATACAATTATAAGACTACATGGTGATGGCTTCATGAAACAAGACTGAAGATGCATTTCACACCAAAGTTATTTTTTTTCTGAAATACAAACACAGATCAGAACTTTTATTGAGACTGTTTTGTCTGTACAACAGGTGAAACTCCTCAATAAATGTTTTTCTCTGCATTTGACTATTTCATCATTCTGTCAGTTGTTGCCATCTTTCTCCAAGTTATTTTTGCCACTGTTTATATATTTTTTAGCATTGCACATTGCAGTCATTCCATAACAAGGCACTTTGGGATGGGGTAACACTTGGTGATTTATAGTATTTATCTTTTTAACTTTGAGATTGTTATAGGTTTAATATACAGTATATTTTGTTCATTCCTGAGGCATCATAGTTGATAGGTCATTTGCAGCACAGAAGCATTGAGAGTAGTAATGGGGATGGCATACTCAAGGTAATCATTATATATCATTACATCAATGTTTATACAGGAGGGCTGCACATATAGTCATCTTTTCGGTGTTCCACATTTTCGTTGGCTTTCAATTGAGCCAATGTTCCACTTGCCTGTGACTGTTGTCAGCAGTTGGAATGCAAGGAAAAATTGATTAGTTTGAAGCTAACAAAAACGTGGAACACCGAAAAGGTGCTGTACATGCGGGGCTGTTCTATGATACTGAGTTGATGTATTAGATATGTTTAACACCTGGGTATTTTGATTTTGAATTGAATTGAGAGGCGTTGTTGGTTGACTGTCTTCAAAATAATGATACCCAGGTGCTGCAGATTTCTAAATTCATCACCTCATTATGAATGTCATCTGTCGTTGTTGAGAAAGTTTAGCACAATTACCTAGAGTTGAATACTGAAAGGTTTTGTCAACAATTTGTAAAGGATTATTTTCAGCTATGAGTGAAGTAGTGTACATGAGAGTTCCTTTACTATGTGCACAATAAAAGTTTACAGAATTTAGGTTTTTGTATTTTACAGTTCAGTATGATTGTATGTTTTTTTTTCTCACTTTAATGCGTCTGGAAAGGCCCAGTGATATAGTTACAAGATTCTTGATATTGCCATTTCATATTTTCACTTCAGATTCGTATCTTTGCTGTCTATACGATAATCAAAATGAGGTTACTTAATGAAAGATCTTTAATAATAATAATTTAATTTAAGATAGTGGTAAAAGAATATTAATATATATATATATATTATTGGTGGTACTGTAATTCTTACATTCTTAATTTATGCTATTGAGCTTGTGAACTGAAATATCATCTGTGGTATAATACACTTAGCCGGATAAAATTAAAAGTTTTGCTATTGTGCTAGTAACATTTTTTAAAGTATTGAAATACAAGAAAAAGTTGCTATAATTCTTTTGACACAATTCCTTTGAAACTTTGATGGGAAAGAGGTTGGTGGACGTGTGGTCAAGTGCTTGCCTGGTTAGAGTAGCATTCCTGTGTGCTGCCAGACAACATCATTCATATCTTCTGAAGGCTTTCTTCATTTATTTATTCAATTAAAAAAAATCTCATTGCTTTATTGCAGATTTGATATATATTTTTTTATTTTATACATTTTCTTGGAATTTGAAATAAATAAATGACAAATTATGGATGCGTTGGTCCATTAGTCCTGGGTTAATATTTACATGTGTAGGCATAGCTTAATTGCATTAATTCATCTTTTATAAACTAATACTGCAAAAAACATACTTGCTTAAGTTTTTGGCAAGTTTTTGAGATAAGCGACCTCAAAATTAATACTATTCCATACAAGTGTGAGTACACCTGTGTGCTGCTACACTATTCTAGTCACAGAATGGGAACACCTTTTGAACAGTTATGTATAATAGCTGGTGTGGAAATGTGCACTAAGTTGCTACATTAATAACAAAACAAGACACAATACTGTGACAATACACAGATAACCCACACATAGAAGAGAGGAGCTTACCACGATGTTTTGGGCCGACTTGGACCATTTACAAAGTCACACTAATGAGAAGTAGAGCAGGAAGGAAGTGGTAGTAGTAGTAGGGAAGTAAGAAGAGTCAATCAAATACTAAGGGGAGCACTGCAAGGGAGCTAGGTGCCCACAGAGGGTAAGAGCAAGAACACGGGGAAATAATGAAGGAACAAAAACACAAGGCAGAAGACAACCCCGAGGAGAAAAAGAAAAAGGTAGGAATCAGGTTAGGTCACGGGTGTTCTGAAGTTTGGAGCATTTTACAATGTAGTGGGAAAGGAAGGCATCTACAGAGACGAAGCCAGGACTAAAATTCAACCAGACAGCGACTGTTGAAGTTGGGAGGAGGAAAGACAGTTTTAGCAGAAAACCAGTCAATAGGATGGCTGTGATCTCTGGCATGACAGAAAAGAGAATTGTTAGTGTCAGCAAGCCTAACACTACTTTTGTGCTCCCCAAATCTGTCAAAGAGATGGGCAGTTTCTTCAAAGTATTGAAGACAGGAGGAACAAGAAATTGAGTAGACACCAGGAGCATCAGGAGAGGTATGAATGAGATTAGTGCAAAGAGTGTTAATCTGGCGGAAAGTAAGCTTGATGTTTAATCCGTAAACGGTCCAAACGTATATATACGTTTTGTGTGTCCTACATTTAACATTGCCACGATAAGACCTGAGTCGCCTAGACATGTGAGAATGGGTGTGAGCACTCACTGTGCACTGTATTAAAATAATTGAGAATGCCTGGGTACCATATGCTCTTTTTTCCTATTAAAAAAACGTTTTTTTTTCTCAAAAAAGTTGGGGCAGTACGGTAGTGAACGTATATATACTTTTGGACCGTTTACGGGTTAAGGAACGGAGAGAGTTGTTGAGATTAGAAAGGCCAGAAATGTAGGGAAGGCAGAGGACAGAAAAGTTCCCAGGAGTAGAGAGTTTGGGAGAAAAGAAATTACGTTTAGCACGTGAGAAGGCAGAGTATGAAATGGGAAGGGTAGCCAAGACGGGAAAATGAATTATGAAGAGTGGAAATTTCTGCTTGAAGGAACTGAGGATCGCAAATGCGGAGAGCATGGAGAAAGAGGGAGATAAGAACACTTTTTCTTGACAGAGGAAGCATGATAAAAGTAGTGAATGTACTTGCCACTGTGTATAGGTTTGCAGTAAATGGAAAAGGCAAAGCCTGTATCTGAGCGGTGGACATGGACATCAAGGAATTAGATTCCCATTCAGCTTTAAACTTAATGGAAGGGGCAAGATTATTAAGAGCATCAAGAAAAGGTTGGAAGAGACTAAAGTCATGAGGCCACAGAGCAAAGATGTCATCTACATAGCGAAGCCAGAGTGAAGGGCGCACATCGATGGTAGGAAGAACAGTCTCAAAGTATTCCATGTAAAGATTAGCAAGGACAGGAGAAAGAGGAAAGCCCATAGCGACACTGAAGGTTTGAGAATAATATTTCCCTTGGAAGGAAAAAGAATTAGTCCACACAGAGGCAGATAAGATCAAGAAGACATCAGTAGGTATAAGGAGATGAAGAAACCCTTCATTGGCCTTCTAAGAAAATCAAGTTAGTGTGACTTTGTAAATGGTCCAAGTCAGATAAAAATGTCGTCGTAAGCTCCTCTCTTCTATGTGCGGGTTATCTGTGCATTGCTACATTATTCTACATAAGAAAGATTTATATTGTGGGTACAAGCAGTGTATGGCTAAGGTACTCCATACGAGTCATGTAGGAACAAAAGTGAGCCGTTTCCCTGCCATGTTCCATCGCAGGATGAATTGTATTTGAAACAAAACCTATGAGCCTAAGATGGGAAGCAGCAGGTAGGAGACTAGACTCAGATGGGACACACCAGGAAGAATTAAGAGATGAGAGTCAAGTAGAGAAGTTTGCACTGTGCACCAGCCACAATATTATGTCCCTAGTGGTAATTAGTGTTGTAAGGTGTACCGTACACATTTTTTTGCCACTATTCATATATTTAAGTGTATGTTATTAACTAGTGAATGTTAGTTCTCATGAAGTATGGAGTAGCATATGTTGACTCTTGATTTATTTTCACCTACAGGAAGGCCCTGCTTATACAGAGCCTTCCAGGCTACTGCTGTAAAGCAAAAAATCACTGTAAAGTGAAACACAGCCTTTTTTTTTGCTTTTTAACCCGTAAACGGTCCAAACGTATATATACGTTTTTACCGCTAGTGCCCCAAATGTATATATACGTTTTATGTGTCATACATTTAACATTTCCACGATAAGCCTGAGTCGCATAGACATGAGAGAATGGGTGTGAGCACTCGCTGTGCGCCATATTAAAATTGGGGATGCCTGGGTACCATATGCTCTTTTTTTCCTATTAAAAAACAACAATGTTTTTTTTTTCTCAAAAAAGTTGGGGAAGTACGGTAGTGAACATATATATACGTTTGGACCGTTTACGGGTTAAGTGCATATTAAAGCCTGATAACAAGTTTACACTATCACACATGAAGTGAGCAATAGAGCTAGGCCTAAAAATGCAGATATGGTACACACACTACTTACCTTTAAAATATTTTCATCCTTAGCTTATAGTGAATGATGAATATATTTATTTTAGGAAGTCTGAATAAATGAAGAGTGGGTATACAGAGGAACCTCGGCTTACGAGTTTAATCTGTTCCGTGACCTTGCTCGTATCCTGATCTGCTCGTATGCCGAGTCACTTTTCCTCATTTAAATTAATCAGTTCCAGCGGAATTCCTGCTCTGGAGGCAGGACAAAATACACTTCAGTTTAATGCTAATATCAACTCTATGGATTATCTATCACAATTCATCTAATATGACATAATAACAACATACTCTAGAATGAATAAAATATGTCATTACGTATGTGACTATGTAGTGGTGGCAGCGGCGGAGGAGAGCTTGTTTGGAGAGAGGACAAAATACTACCTCAATATGATGCTAATATCAACTCAACGGCTTATCTATCAAAATTGATCTAATGTGACATACTAAACACTATAAATAACATAGAAATCTGATATATACTCTAGAATAAAATATGTCATGTGACAAGTGGAGGCGGCCATTCCTGCTCCCGCATTGTTGTGGTATTCAATGCTATTTAGTGACTGCCTTTTGAAGCTCGCCTATATTATACGTATTATTTTTTTTTCAACAGGTCGGCTGTCTCCCACCGAGGCATGGTGACCCAAAAAAAAGAAAATACTTCCATCATTTAACACTTTCACCTTGCTCATACATAATCACTGTCTTTGCAGAGGCGCTCAGAATTTATGAATTTTTAGAAGCCCCTAAAAAGTTTTAAATTTCCCCAGCCCCCCCTTTTAAAAGGGAAAGGCATTGTATTTCCCAAATTTTCCCAGGATTAAAAGTCTGGGGGGGAAGGCTTACTCACCCCTGTTTAAAACTTCAGACAGAAATTCCCCAAGGCTGGCTCCTCCTCGCAAAATTAATAAATAGAAAAAGAAATAATAAGACAAACAAAAAAACTTTTTTATATAGAAAATAAAAAATTATGAAAACATTTTAAATATAAAAATTTTAAATCCTACTTTAAAAAAGAAAATTAAATGAAAAACTGAATTCAACGCAAATATTTTATGGGGGTGTCTGGTTTTGGGGTGACACTGTGCTGTTGAAATCTTTTAGCTTTTGCTGTGATGGGGGGGGGGGGGGGGGGGTTTGCAGGTGTTGGTTACGCCCCACGGCTTTTTCTTCACAGTTTACCTTGAGTATATCCCAATGACGGGAAAAAGGGGGGTTCGTTCCCGTTTGAAATGATGAGGGGTTACACCCTGCAATTTCATACAGGTCCCAAAAGGAAATTTTAAATAAAAAAAAGGGGAAAAGTTCGGATTTTTGCCCCTCTCCCCCCAGTTTTCCCCTTGTTTACAGGTACCCTCTCTGTAAATCCAAGCTGAAAAGTTTCAGGTTCCCCCACTGCTTAAAAAATAAACTCCCCATGATAAGTACAATAATTAAAGATGTGGTGATTATTAAACGGGTCAAAAAAAGGAAAGGCTAAAAAAGACTAAGTTTATTTTTTTGGTCAAAAGGAAGCTTTAAACCCAAAAATTTACTAGAATTAAAGGCAGGAAATGTCCTCTTCAAGGGGGGCCCCTTTGGGGTGGTGAAGAGGCTTTTGGTTGAGGAATTAGCCCTGTCGGTCTTTTCCTCGGGCCAAAACCAAAATTACCCCCCATTCCCCCCTCCCCTTTTCCCCAATCCCCCCCATCCCCCCCTTTTTCCCTTTCCCTTTCCCCCTCCTCCTCACCCCCCCTTTTTTCCCCTTCCTCTTTTTTGCCTTGTGATTTCTCCCACGGGGCGGTAGTTCCTAGGTGGGGGAAAAAAGGACCCCCGGGGTCTGTTTTCCCTTTCCTTTGGAGGTTTTTGGCGGGGGGCGTAGTTTCCGGGGGAAATCGGGGAGGGGCTTAGGGATGCCCGTTTCCCTCCCCGGGTTTTTCCCGGATAGTTTGGGGTGTCTTTTGGGCGCGGGTGTATTTTGGGGAAGAAACCTTTGGGTTTTTTCCGGGGGTGGGGGCTAAAGGGGTAGTTTTTTTGGGGCTTTTTACCCCGGCCGCCCTTCTTTTGTCCACCAAAGGAAAGTGGGCCGATGGGGGGGGTTTGCTATCCC